TTTCTTTTATCCGAAAAATGTGTTATTGCATTTAATATTACTTGTATCTATTGTATAGAACATCAATATCAATATCATCAATCAGTTCAGAGCAAACCTTTTTAATGTGAACGTGAAAATCAATTCCATCTAAAGGAACTTTTTTCAAAGTATCATTGTATAATAAAATGTCTAGTTAAAAATCTCTACATGACATTATATGTTCACCATTTCATTCAGTCTACTCATTTGACATCTGCAGTCTTTAACGTTAGCGCTGATGAAACTGAAACCAGAAAAGTAGAAAAATTTCGCGTTGCAAAAAGCTGAAATCTACTTAAGCTGGACTATTTTTACGGAACAGCTTAATAAATTTTTGGTAAGTCTTGTTTCGAAAAATTTTCTTCAAGATTTTGATAGAATTTGTTTCATAATCTTGATTAAGTACCGTAGTCTAAAGTATCTTGATTGAGATCGCTAAATATTCTAGAATTCTCAGAAATTTGCATAATCATTTATGTTTTCTTCCACCGGTTTGTTTTGCCACTTCCATTCACATACAGAAACATTGTTGGCATTGTGGAATATTGGAAGATTTTTAAGTTAAATTTACATATATAGTGTTTGAACACTAGGCTGTTCATACAGTTGAAGCGGCTTCGATACTGTCTGTGCCGTATCCTACCCTAGTCGAACATCTTGGAAGCAAGATCTTGACATCTTAGATTTTTTCGAAAAGATCTTGGGTCCAAGATGTCAAGATATTTTTGTTCCTAAGGTCTTGCCCACGATCTTGCGTGCACAATCCTAAACATTATCTTGTATCCAAGATCTTGACTGTAAAATGACTTGTACCCAAGATCATGGCTCAAGATCTTTGATACAGAAATATTTTGACATATTGTGCCAAAGATCTTTGAGTAATCATTGGTTATCATTCACCGTCCTATTTTGGCGATGTCATCCTATATATGAACACCCTATTTTGTGTCTAATGTTACTATGTTTGCGTCGACAGCAGAGTCAAAACTCCATGAGGGAGGCATTAGGGATCGTTCTTCCTAGCGGATGAAATGTTCACCACTGAGCGGTGAATATTTTTTGTTCCCAACACTTTTTGAAAAAATGCAAAGAAAAAAAGTTATTTTTGAAATATGACGGTTTTTCAAATGTTCAAGATCCTGGGTACAAGATATCAAGAAATATCTGTACCCAAGGTCTTGCGTAAGATCTTGGTTACAAAAATGTCTTGAGATCTTGTACGCATTTTTTCAAGATTTAGTGCCAAATCTTAACTTGGTTCCAAGATGTTGGACTAGGATATAACTCTCGGAAATACGGTTGCATTACGAAATTGCTTTTTCTTCTTTCTCGTAATGACCAAGAAAGACTAATCAGTATACAATTAATGGTGAAAGAGATAAAGAAAGCGTATATTGTTCTACTTAAAATCGACCGAAAGATACTGTTATAAGTTTTGAAACTAACTAAAGTATAATAAAATACAGTGTTTTACAACCGTGTTTACTAGAAACTCCAGAAAACGCAGTCGTAAAAAACGCTACAAGAGACTTTAGTTTTGGTCAATGCTCTGCAGTAAACCGAGGCCAGAATCTTTTAAACTCTGCCAAAACCCAACGTTTAGGTTAGGCATTAATGAAGTTCAGGGTTCGCTCTTTTCAGCACAAAAAGCAGTCACTCTCTAACATATCGAGAACATGGAGAAATATTTATGCATATTTACTGAATCTGACCTTTAACATTTTTTTCCTAGGACAACATCAATCAAATGTATTACTTCATCATACGGTTAGTAAAAATATAATTGGTGAATCAGTAAAAGACTTTGATCTGACAACCTACGATGGTTATTTACAAATCATTTATTCTGTGTAAATGAATAAATAATACTCTATGTGTGTTTACCTGAACAGGGACGCAATGTAGGCTCAGCCTACAATAGAAGCGCACCTCAAAGTGTATAACTTTCGAGACACAGCAAAAGCTCATATCAGTCATATGCTCTCCCATGTACTAAAAATCGGCAATTAATCGTGAAAAATCATACAATTAATCGCAATTAATTGACGATTTTTTTCTACGTACTAGGCTCGAACCCATCTATAAAATACATATTTTTTTTCTGTTTTTTCATTGTTTATTATGTATAATGACATGTACGCCACACAGCAATGATCTTAGCACCAGCTGGAGTCGGAGTCTTGTCGACGAGTCAGTTTTAAACATTGCCCACATATCAGCTGTTTAGTGGGCTTCTCGATTTAAAGCTCTGAGGGACAATAGAGAACACTCTTGACAACTCCGTTGAATAAAATAAAAAGATGATCTAAATATAAGTGTATTTTTCGTTGAAATCGTGTTCCTTATATACATACTTTACTGCAAAAGAAAACGGTGAATAGCAACAACCATTTAATCACTTAAAATCAACAATCAATCACAATTAATTGACGATTTTCGTGATTAATCACGATGGTTGACAAAATCATCGATTAATCGCGATTAAATGGCGATTTTTTCCCGAATCGCGATTGAGCGTCAATTTTTTCAACCATCGCGATTAACTGACAAAAATGAAGCGATTTTCAGCACATGGGCGTACATAAAAAAAGATGCAAAAGTGATGCTTTGTTTTAATGACTGTGTATTTGTCTGTGATTTTTGAAAAAATGATTTTGTGAGGAAATATTGATGTAACTTTGTAGAGTTCAGTTTTTTGTAATAAAGTCGAAATGACAATTGGAAGCAAAAACAAAAGAGAGGAAGAAAGCTGTATGAAAACGCATTGTCGCACTGTCTGTGGAAAAATTCACCCTGCTCTTAGTTAGAAGAGCTGTCTTTAATAGAAGTTCAGTCTAAATCTTATACTATTGCGGAACAGAGTAGAAGCCCAGTGGGCTTATAGTGCACCTGTGGGTTTAGTAGGAATTTTTATTCCAACAACACATGACCTATGATGGAAAAGGAATTGAGTAAGAAAAATGTGCCGTTTTGTATAGCTTCGTAAAACACAGTATTGCTGAGTTTCTCTCCGACTCTTTTTTTGATTCTTTTGGCACACCAGATGGTACAAGATCGTTATAATGAGAACAGACACTTCAACTATAGGGCTTAGGATCAGTTAGAACCCCAAAACTACAATCTTGGAGAAGTGTTATTCACACCCGTTACTGTCTTCTTATTTGTTCAACAGAAGTCGTGTTCCATGTTATTGTTTGATACAGCGAGTAATTTAAGTATTGATTATGTTGATTATTATTCATCCAACAAATTTGAGTGAATGTGGAACAATGCGTTAAATGTTGGATACGTCCTTACAATCAAATGGACTTAATTAGTACAATTCAAGGATGTTTGAACAATGGAATTCTATATGATTTTCAAACGTTAAAACGACGTCAAATCAGTTCCAGTCATGTTCTCTTCTGGAGTTCAACTTTTGAATTGGCTGATCGACATGCGAGTTTTCTTAATGAGTAAGTCTTATTGTATTTCATCAATGAAGTGAAGTCTATTTTTCCGTGTGTTCAAACGAGTTCATTTATAGCGTCATCGCTTTTCTCCCATTTTTTTTCTTAGCCTTATTCAGTTAGTACTTCTCCTCGTTCCTTATGTTAACCAGAAACCGGCTTCACCAGCCTTTTTCGTCAATAAACGAATGTCTAGTGTGTAGAAAGAAAGGTAACGTTCATCTTCGATTTACTTAACTCTTGGCTGAAACAAAAGTTGAGTATCCGTCTATTTGACTGCACGTAAATCGAAGATGAACATGTCTACAAACATACATCAATATTTCCTCACAAGATCATTTCTTCGAAAGTCACCGACAAATACAGTCCTTAAAACAAAGGATCACTTTTGCATCTTTTTTATGTAAGAGCATATACTGACATGAGCTATTGCTGTGTCTCGAAAGTTATACACTTTGAGGTGTGCTTCTATTGTAGGTTGAGCCTACATTGCGTACCTGTTCAGGTAAACACATGCAGATTATTATTCATTCATATACACAGAATAAATGATTTGTAAATAACCATCTTAGATTATCAGATCAAAGTATTTCACTGATTCACCAGTTATACATAGATTGTCTTCAAAAACCAGTAAAAAAGCCGATCAGTTCAAAGCCGCTAAGCTATCCTATTTTCTATTCTTATAAAAGAAAGTATTGAAACCGGAAAGTACGAGAGAAAGTTTTGCTCTTAGTTATAAAACAAAGTACGCAACGGAAATTCATTACACATCTGTTTAATCCAGACTATTTCCTGGTTTTTGAAGATCTTTTGGGGTATGTGGCAAAGAAATGTCAGTCGTGTATAACCAACATTTGTCAGACGAACATTACAGTACTGACGACAATTACAAATACCAATTGATTCATTCAACACATTCACATATACAAACGACTACTAGGATTTACGTAATTGTAGAGCATGAAGTTTTATACTATAGAACGACTATGCATAAATACATGATGTTAGCACAACTTTCATACATGAGCCTGTTATAACTGTATCGACTACAACATTTTTCAGCACGCAAGAATTTTTGTCAATAATAAACTCATATTTTCATCAATCGAGCCGTTGACTTCTAATGTAAGTGACATCTAGAACCAATCTAACCATTTTTGATAGATACAAATACACATTCACAATTATTATTAGACACATTTGAAAAATTGTTTAAAGATTTGACGATATCATTTTAATTTAGGTTTATGCTAGTGCAACAGACTTACGATCAAAGTATTGCGATCACTTGGATAATATTCAAAAATACTACTCTTTGCTTTACTTTAGTGCATTAAATGGAGAAAATAAGAACGTAAATAAAGTTCTGTATGCATCGTACAATAAATGGGCAAATGTGTGTGGCGCGGCTTGTTATTACACGGTACATGAGTATTCTTCTTCAAAACAAACCATAAGTTGTCACATCTATTCCGTGACATAGCAGAAAACAAGTCTTGCTTAATACAAATACAAAATGGACCTTTATTATTGTTCACACCAAATCCATAAACGAAATCTGTTGTTACCAAAAACAAAATTCTTCATTATTTTAGATGCATACTCTACGAACGATGCCGAATCGAATTCTTTTAAATCAGAGAATATACATATATAGTTTAAAGATCGACATTTTTCAAACAGAGCTGGTAATATTGCGTAAACACGCTCAAGTGATTCAATACACAATGTAAAATGCTTAATATTTGGAAATACTCGACATACTTGTTCGATGTCTTCGTACGTTAAAAAGCCTTCTTCAAATCTAAATTTTTCTATTTTAGGATAGCATTTTGTAATTTTTAAAAAATATTCCTTCTCGTGCAAGTCAAGCGAAACAATGTTTGATGCATGTTGAAGTACTACTTCTAAATATTCAAATCGATAAAAGTAAGATAAATGTTTCAGTTTGGGCCAGATGATTAGTTGATTCAGATCTTTTAGCAATTTAATCGAGGGTGAGAAATTATTCGGTTCGTAAATTTCAGGATTTGATAATACCAGTGTGTGTGCATTTTGAAATGCCGAACCATTTGAAGTCCAATAGCCAGAGCCTACAAGTTAAAGAATTGTTACTGATAAAGGGCAATTTTACGATGTACCGACTTCAAACATGTCTTTATGATTATGATCGTACAAGGTGCTCTATTTTTGAATACTGATAAAAGCAGAATTACAGTTAGGCGAAAAGGAAGCTTAAATTCGGCATTAAACCTTCAAGAGAGTGCAGTCATCATGGACTGTAGGAAGAAAAGCCATAATTATATTTCTTGGAGTGCTTTTAATCTAGCTAAAAAAGCATTTGAAAAAGAAGTTTTGTTTATTTTTCTTTTACATTGAAAAAACAGCGCACCATTTCCTATCTCATGTTGTGAAAACGTATACTGCAGCTTGCTGAAACTCTCTAATCAGACGTAAATATCGCTCGCCCTACAAATAGATTCAAACCTGCATTTGCTACTATCGACAAAAAACTTGTCTAACTGCATTTTTACTATATGTTTTGGAAAACTGGTGTGTACTACAATCACAATTACTGCCAGTGAGAGAAACTGATTACTTATGTCCTATTTTAAACTAAACAACTACGTTCGCTGTCATTCTTTTTCAAAACTGAAAACTGTTCTCATTTAAATTTAAAAAAAAATTAGCTCGTTGTTTTAGTCAGTTCTCTTTTATTCACAAATTTTGCTGTAATTTTCAGTATCGTTTTCCATTATGAGCAGACTTGTTTTCATGTAAATACTTAAAATTCGAGAAATATCTTTTAATTTTCGTGACGTTCATATCTTAGGCGAAGAATTCCTAAAATGGCACAGTACAACTTAGCACTTTTACATAATGACAGTCATCAAGAAGTCACTAATTCTATAGCGCAATATGGTGAACTTTATTCAAGTGACCATATCAGACTTGTACGACCAACCTACAGTGGAGAATTACTACGAGAGAAACGACTTATCTTCGTGGATTCTCAGGAAGACATATCTGCGGTATATACTCCGATAAAGAATTGAAATCTTACTATATACTTACCAATCGTGTTTTTTAATCCTTCAAAATCATTCTCCATGTCGCTCAATGTGACATATAATTCATCAACGTAATCATAGATATCAGACATCTGTGGCACTTTCGACTGGAATATATTCATTTCTGTAACATATAACTTTTCCTTGCATGGATAAGAATAAAAATGAAAATCTTCATGTAGAGGGCAATAATTGAATACGAAATACCATTGATGTTCTAACCAATACTCTGTTTGAAACGTCAGTATAATGCGGGAAATGTTACCAAGAAATGATTTCGGCAAACAACAATATTTCACATCAAACTGAAATCTTTTTAGATCAGTTAAATAATTTGACAAGAGATATACCCAACGTCTGCCATCAACATATTCTAGATTAAACGCTGAAAATGATAGATGCTGAAGATGTAATAAATTCGATAATAAAATTTCGATTAAATCAAATTTAATATTTACCACCGATATTTTTAAGTATTTCAGTTTTGACTGAAATTGAGGCATGAATGAATCGACGTCATTGTTCAACACATCTCTGTGAAGACAAACATTTAAATATTCGATTGATGGTATATAATTGAATAATTTGATTAAGTCATTAAATGAATGGAAATGAATTTTTAAGTGTTTGATGTTGGTTGCGAATGATGATGATAAAAATCGACAATAAGGTAAATGACAATGGAGTAAGTTAGGCAATTTAAATACTACTTGATGAATATTATCCTCTAATTCTTCAAATTCATTAGTAAAATCAAAAATCTTTAAAAATCGAATATTTGATAATGTCGGCAGTTTTGGTAAGACATGTTTTTTCATCTCATTTAACTCAATGGTGTCCAGTGTTAATGATTGAAGTAATGTTAAGCGTTCAAAATCAAACAAACGAGTAAATATTTTCATATGCATACTTTGTAATTTCAGAGACATAATCGTTTCAAAGAATGGTAGAACTGTGGTACAATAATAATCGAAAATATGTTTCTTATCAATACCCATAAAATTAACGCGTATTTGACTGTTTTGGAGTATCCGATTTATTCTCATGTTTAAATTAATAAAGGCATGATAAAGATTGTAACCGTCGAAATATTCAAATATTTCCATAAACAACTCATTGGACAAGTCTAATCAAAGATAAATGTTATCATTATTAGTCTTTATAGTACCCGAAACAGCTGATCTCAAATCTGTTTTTCTTTCTTAAAAATACCCCGCACCGCAAACCGTGCCTACAGAGGGTTTCTCACTTAGACCCCTTTTCTACAAATCGAGAGAAAACCTACGATACGCTTTCGGTAACAGCTGCAGTTTAGTAGAGGGATAAGTGTTAATCTTCGAAGATTATAGCGGAAGTTTTAACTAAATACACATTCATTTTATTACTTTTTTTTGCTTCTAATCATGCAACAGAAAGACACGCACGTTCGACTGGCAATCGAACCCATAATCTGCTGCTACGAGTAAGAAGCTCGCTACTGAACTATTGAAGCACGATCTCCCCGCACACTTCCTATCAGCTTACAATAATATTTTCTGAAAGTGTCAAGTGATATCATTCACTGGATTTGGATCATTCTCTGTTAGAGCTGTGACTAGACCCTCTTACCTGTAGCTAGAGGATCTTGGGATGAATTTTTAGTCGAGACATGCTGGTCTTTCTGTTGTTTATAAGAACAAGTAACATAATGTACACAATTAGTGAAAATTCAATTACTGTTATTGGACTGTACCAAATTTCTCACAGATCAGACTTTGATGTTGACGCGTCAAAAATACGTCATGACGTATTTTTAATCTATAATATTCCTTAAAAACATTTCACAAAACACTATCTTACTTTCAAATACACTGACATCCATTTTCTAATTAATATGATCGAATAGGTAATGATGATGTTCTTTTGCCTATATATTATTTCTATATCTTTTCAGTTTCACGGTTGACGAATAAAGTGGTAGGAATAAACGGTCACTGTATAACACAAACCAATAACTTCTCATCTGTATTGCTGTTATTATCCAGAAATACTAATTCAAACTGATTAGACGTTCATATATACAGTACCGACTAGAACTATTCATTAGGCAACAGCAGCGGCGGAAACAAGTTATTGTTTAGAACTATAGAGTCGTCATTTATTCTGACAACACTATTCATCGAACAATGAAACAGAAAAGAAACGGAAATAATATTGAAGCGGTAGAAAAATTATAGTTCTATATATAGAGAAAATGAATATATAAAGAAAATGACAAATCGGAAATGCACTAAAAAGGTCACATGTATCACAACAGGATTGTTTCAAATACGATGAGTGAATAAATGTCTGTGACTCCTCGTATGCCAATGTAGATCAGCTATTTTTTTGTTCTTTTTCTTCTTTTCTGCTCTTCAGCGGAGCAGTCATCTTTTTCTCTTTCGTTCACTGATCGACTTCGTTGCTCTGTTTCTTCGACCCAGGGCGAAGAATCTTGAAATATGATCTTGTAAGTTCATACAAGATCATATGAAAATCTTACAACATCTTACAAGATTTCACAGGAATCTTGGTTCAAGAATCTTTTAAGATTTCACAAGATTTTTCTTACAGCAAGATCTTGTGATAAGATCTTGTATGATTGTGCAAGAGGTGAGAAGATCTTGAAAGATTCCATAAGATCATATAATAATTCATCAGATCTTACAAGATTATGTCTCTGGTTCTGTCCTATAGATCCCTACAGACCCTCTTTAAAAAACAGCTTTTTTCTTTTCATAATATTTTCGAACATAGGAAGGACTCAGATCGTTTTCATGAAAGATTTTTGTTTGAAGTAACAAGGTTGGTTGATGATCAAATCACCAGTTTGTTTTGTCGATCGCTGTGCTATGTGTAAGGTATATAATATAACTCAATCTATGCTTAGATTTTGTAAAAATTGTTTTAAATTTTATAATATTCTTGTCAAGAGACAATCGCAAGACGGAAATTTCGGAGAAGAATCTTGAGATAAAAATGTAGTTCTTTCGACTACTTCAGAAGATTTTTGACTGAAATGACAAGAGACAAAGATCGTGCAAGAAATATAACACAAAATTCGGCCAGTGTTATGTATACATTTGGTCATTTTCTTGTCTGTGTTCTGACAAGATTCTCATTTCAAACGAGCTTCTCTTGATGCCCACAGAGAAGGTGTTTTTAGTCTTTTTCCATCGTTCGACACTAGTAAAGTCTAAAGAGTAGAAAGGTGACTAATTTCAATTGAAAATTGACAAGATTACTGCCATTGCATATTGCAAAAAGCGTCATCATAAACCCGAATATATGCCTTGTTTCTAATCAATCAAGATTTAAACAGTTTTCCGTAACAAGGCAATGAAGGGGCTTGGGCTCATTCGGAAATTACCGAAGCAGTTACGCATGGACTCTTCCATAGTTTAGAAAACAGTCACAACTGCTCTAATAAGAGAGATAGAATACAGAGGTAAACCTCACCTTGAGTAGAGAGGAACAACCTCATGTTTGCGTAACTTCGTCTTCACCATGAGTGTCAGAATATTAACAGTTTTTTCTCAAAGAAAGCTAGAAAACAGGAAGAAGTAGAGGAAAAAAGTTTATAAATTGCCGCGTTGACTTGTCTTTTCGAAACAAATAATTAACTGAAAAAAGATCTCCCTAGTGAAACGTCAAGATCTTGTGTGAATCCATTCGAGATGTTGCAAGAGCTTGAGGTAAAAATTTTCTTTACATTCTTTTTTAAGAGTGTGAACAAAACGATGATTCAAGTTCTTGATACAAGAAGTCAAGAAATTACAAGATGTTTAAGATCTTAACGTCTTGAAATTTCTTGAATATTAATACTTTCTCTTTAAATTTTGAATCAAGATCTTACTGGAAAAATTTAAGAAGTGAAGATTTTCGTTGCAAGAAGTTTCACTAGGTTTTACTAATAAATAACTTTTACAAGACATATATATTCTTTTATATTTTGTTATATAATTTTATAGTAATTTGGGTTTTTAGCTGACAAAGTTTTCCAGAGATCCTCTGGAAACCTCTTAGAGATCCTGAAACCATTGCCATGTAATTCGCAATGGTTTTTAACCTATATGAATGT